GAGGACGCGGAGGGGCCGGAGAGGTTAGGGGGCGCTGGGGCGGCTGGGGGAAGGGGGCTGGGGACAGTGTGGGTAAGAGGGGACGCTAGGGCTCGGTCTGGTGGATTTGTTTGCCCTTTGGGCCCTCATTTCTCACTAGGCCCATCTACTGTGGTCTTTCTTAGGCTTGGCCAGCTTGAGGTGGGACAGCGTCGCTTAGTGTCTCTGGTATCACCTGCCGAGCTCTGGCTTGGCCTTGCTTTGTGATACGGCTCTAGCGAGGTTCATTAGGGGCCTGGCTAGGGAGGATGGTGTCAGGGGAGGCTCCGTCTCGCTTCCCAGTTCTCCAGAGCAAGATTCGGGAGCCTTCTAGATTTGCTTTCTGGTCAGTATAGGAGAGGCTAAGAAAAGTACAAGCCCCAGAGTTTGACAGACTGTACTGTAGCTGGCTGTGGACCAGGAGACTTGCTTACTCATCGGGTTAGTCGTGATATGAGAACCGATGGAAAACTTTGGTAGCTTTCTTACTACTAAGGAATCGTTTGCAAAAATGATTATATGACATCAGAATTCCACTGGATAGTGGATCACAATTCGTGTAAACAGAGCAGTAGTGATGCTCTGGATTTTCTGAGTATGTGAGACTTTGTGAATATAAGCATTTACCCCAAATCTTTGTTAATTACTTCCAAAGAGGGATGCAATAGGGCACTTGCGTTGCAAGATGGAAAGTAGCTCCTTATTTTCAGTGTGTGACAGATTTTATTTCAAGTGCGTCATCCTTAAACATCACTTCGTCTTGCAGGTATTGATCAATGTTGGTGAACAGATAAAGAACTGATTGAGTATTATCTATCACCTTTATAATACTTTGGACAAACATTAGACAGTACGCTTCTTATACCAAGCTTAATAGTAGTTGAGATCGGTGACTACTTACTCAACAGAGTTAAATAGTTAATATGTTTTAATAAAATCTCTAACTTTATTGCTAGATGTACCCAAATAAAATGTAGTTCTTCATAATTGCTAGGAGGGACTGTTTTGTGGCATGAGCTTAATGTCAAGAAGTATACAGAACTTAACAAATTCTGGAATGAGTTTTAAGTAACATCAGTGCGTCGCCTGGAAAGTGAAACTTGTCTGTCCCTTTTCAATTAGGAAACTGAGGGAGAAGAAACAAACCAGAATAAGTGTTTAAAAGAGACTTGATTTTGAAAGTGATTGTAAAAATTGTTAGGGATGGCAGAACGAAGGTCAGGCATTTAATATCTTGCTTAGCAGTAACAACACTAAGATGCTGACAGCATGTAAAATAGATATTTCCTAAAAAGTAAATTCAATAATTGATGATAGTGTCTAAATATAAGACTTACTATGTCAAGTTTAAAATGCTGATTATATTGGAGTTTCATTTGTATTTGATTTTCATTTGCATTTCATTTTATTATGTTTGAGTTTCATTGAGTTGTTCAAGGGCAGCATTAAATTGTCTATGTTATTTTAAAAAACGGTGAAACTTAAGTATTGATTTTTTTTTTTTATATGCTTGAGAAATCCAGATAAAACTAGGGAAAGTACAGCATAGAACTGCGTTACAGAAATCCTAATCTAAAACTGTAGAAAAAGGAGAACATAAGTGTAATTCATTATCAAGAGTAATAAAAGTTGAGAAGGTTAGGTCGAGCAGAGAACTTTAAGGGAATGACTTGATGTTCTCAGGCTCTGATGAACTTAGGAGTTATAAAAGAGGGTTTGGCTCTTAAAAAGAACGGTTTATGCTCTTCATTAGCTCTTTTCAGTGTTTAATGGTAGAAGCAGGGAAGTTAGCCTTAAGAGAGTGCAGCAGGTGATTGATTATATAAGCATGATACAGGTGTGGAGAAACAAAGTAAAATAAAAGCAATCTCGCATGTGAGATGAAGACATGAATCTGTATCTAATAGGAACAAACAGGAAAAAAGCCCCCAAAGGGTGGAAGGATGTACATGTGTGTAGTTTTCAGTGCCCAGGTGGCAAAGTTTCAGGTTAGTGAACTGGTGAGAGCAAATATGTAGAAAGGCTTGTGCTAAAAATGCGTCTGGTATCGTGCACAAAGAATACTGAAAAGAACTGTCCGTTTGGTATCTAAGTACACTGATCAAAATACCATTTGTTTCAACTGCTGCTACTTAACACTTGATATCATGCAGGCTTCTAGCCAAATAAATGCTTAAGAGGGCATGGGCATGTTAATCTTATGAGCTTTTTGCTCTTGCCTCACAAGATTCATTTTAACCCCCTGACTTACCTATTAGAAATGTTTTGTGGGTTTTTGTTTTTTTTTTTCCATGTTTGGTGCTTAGGTGTTAAGTTTCTTTAGACTTTCTGTTAAAGCTTAGTTGTCTTCTGTACCTAATACTCGAAGGTTTTGAACTCTGTGTGATAAGTCTTTGGGCCTCATAGCGTCTGAAAATATTCTAACTTTAATGGTATTCAGACAGTAAGGTCAAGTTTATTCAACTTTCAGGAAAGTAATACCATTCATCTCTTTGAGTTGTACTTAGAGTACACTCAAATCAGTGTAATCTGGTGACAGGGACATGTTACTTCTGGCATGTTCAAGGCCTTGTTGTACCTCTTGCTGGTTGGGTGACAGCCAGCGTTCTGTCTTTGAACATTCACGTTTCTGTACTCTGTGCGTTAAATATATATGCACAGGCCTTGGAAAATTATTTGATCTCTCCTTCTGGTAGGAAAAGCTCACTCTGTCCTTCATAAAAATCATGAAAGATCATGTAGCAGCATGGAACACATTTTTCTTATGACTTATGCCACAGCTTTTGCCCCAAGTTCTAACATCAATTTGTTTTAAATTGTAACTTTTTTGATAAATATGTTGCTGGAAAAAGTTACAACTTTTAATTATTGTTGAAGCTGCTTGTCTTGTATAGACAACTTCTTTTTTGAGCTCAGTTCAGACATGGAGAGTTTCATATGTAATCCTCTATATGCAGTGATATTTATCAGATGAATTCTTTGATATCAAAGATGTGGTAGGTGGTTTTATTTATAGTACAATCTAATATGAAAGTAAGCTAAGCTCAGCCCATTGTAAAGTAAAAGAAAATTTGACCCACTTGACTGAACTCTGTACTCTAAATGAGTGTTTTACCATTTATCGTGTTCTTGGGTCAGTTGAATGACCTTCTGAAGCTGAGAATGAGTGTCTAACAGTCTTGTCTTTCTGCTCCTTGCAGTCAGTCTTTAGGCGAGTTGTATTTTCAGGCTCTTATTGCTGCACAAGCTAATCAGTGAATTGGTCTTCCAGTGTTGACTGGGTTTTTGCAACCTATGCTTAATTTAGAGCTGCTGTGTTTATGGTCCTAGAACTCAAGAATTAATTCAAAGCTAGTTCAGGTATGTCAGCGTGAACTGTTTGATACAGTGAAACGTATTGTATATTTACTTCAGCAGCTCTGTACAGTTAAGGATAGGTGTAAAACATTCTCCCACAAAGATGAACACTAAAGCATGCTTGTGATGCACGTGAAATGTGAATTTGCAGCATTTTCATTTACATATTCCGTGACTATGAAACTAGGGGAATGGCATTTGACACGTGTGAAACAACGTGCTTACATGTCTGTCCCTGAGTGACTTCTGAAATATACAAGTCTTCCTCTTCCCTCTTATAGTTGTACCTTTAAGTTGTTGTGGAATGTTAAATAACTTGTTCTTCAAGTATATTTCTTTTTCTTTCTAGGAACCAGAGAAATGGCCACTACACAATCTGTCTTCACATTTGCTCTCTGCATTTTAATGATAACTGAATTAATACTGGCTACAGAGAGCTATTATGATATCTTAGGAGTGCCAAAAAATGCATCTGACCGCCAGATCAAGAAGGCATTTCACAAGCTGGCTATGAAATACCACCCAGACAAAAATAAGAGTCCTGGAGCAGAAGCAAAATTTAGAGAAATTGCTGAAGGTACTATACACTAACCTTAGCCTTAATAATTTGATACATCGCTTAGATCTGTGATCAAATGTGGTAACTTAAGTATGCTCTGTTTTTACTGAATAAGAGGTAAAAAGATATTTTTTTCTGAATCCTACTTCTGTGCTGTCAAATGTCGAATATCAGTATCTGACTTGTTTCTGTGTCCTTGCACATAGGCAGGCCTTTTACA